ACAGACAGGTAACTGGAGATGGAGACACAGACAGGTAACTGGAGATACTCTCCAACTCTGTGGGACGTGGACTAAATGGAAGCTTGAATCATTTAATTATTCCTCTTTTGTCTTTTTTGGTTGAACAGCTGTTATTGACACTGGATCGCCTACAAGTCCAGTCTCTTTTTCTGTGTTCTTGCTCTTCATCCTTCATTCTCTCCGTCTCCTCCCCCTCAGGCCCTGGGGCCATGGCGAAAGACTCGTTAGCCGAGGCAGGCTTTTATTTTGACGAGCTCAACAAGCTGCGGGTCCTGGAGCCCGACGTTGGCCAGAAGACATCGGAGCTCAAGGAAGAGTGTAAAGAGTTTGTGGACAGTAAGTCTTCTGTTCTTTGAGTGACTGCTCAGGTCCTACAGGACGTACTGACGTGTTCTGTTTTGCAGAAATTGGCCAGTTCCAGAAGATAGTGGGAGGTCTGATAGAGCTGGTGGACGAGCTGGCAAAAGAAGCAGAGACGGAAAAGATGAAGGTAGGCGTGGAGGTTAAAGCTGCTCTTTTATGAACAACTTCTTATTAATATTAATATAATATTCATCCCTCTCTTCTTCTCTTTCAGGCGATCGGAGCCAGAAACCTGCTGAAGTCGGTGGCGAAGCAGAGAGAAGCTCAACAGCAGCAGCTTCAGGCTCTCATCGCAGAGAAGAAGATGCAGCTCGAGAGGTGAAGCTCAGCACACAGACAGGGTGCATGATGGGTAGTGGTGGTGGGGTGAAGAGGAGCTGGAGGGTCATGTGACACTTTGTTCTCACATGTCGTGCGTCTTGTGTTTTTATCTTCAGGTGTAAAGTCCTCTCACACTCATGTGAGGCTGTGAGCTTCGTTCTGACGTCAGTGGTTTCCAGTCATGTGACTCGCTGTTTATTTAGCACAAACATTCTGCAAAAGTAGTGAAAATGTTTGGAAGTGGTGCTGCCACCCACGTTTGTATTTATACAACATTATGGTTTATATTCTTAAAGGAATCAATAAGAAATGATTAGCTCGTGCGTATCGATCTGCCGCCTCACATGTCACACTTCAACTCTTTTCAGCACTTTGTGCGACAAAGCGGCTAAGCGTTGCAGCTGCGTCGTGTTTGTAGCTACCGACCGCGTCGCTCGTAGTGTGAACGCAGCATTAGACCAGAAACTTTCAGTATTTCCTCTTTTAACTTCCTCGAGTAAATCTGTTTCCTTCTGCCACCTCAAAGTGGAAGTAGGAAAATATAACGATGCATTTAAGTATGAAATATATTTACACTTCTCAGCATTACGAAGAAGCTCACAGTCGACCAGAAATGAATTAGAAACTGAGATGAGTCTCCACGTGTCTGTCGAGGCTTTAATGTGAAATAACAACTGACGTCTTAACGTGTTTAAGTAATAAGTTTAAATACGTAACGACAGCCTCATCATAATATCTACGATACAGACATTTACAATCAAGCTTCACGTGCTTTCTGTTTCCTCCTCTCAGATATCGGATCGAGTACGAGGCTTTGTCTAAAGTGGAGTCTGAGCAGAACGAGTTCATCGACCAGTTCATCCTGCAGAAGTGACGACGCGGCGGTTTCCGTCTCCACACAGTGCCTCTAATGTTTCCTCTGAGCGACTTCAGAGAACGAGTCTGCTGCAACGCTTCCTCTGCAGAACCCTGAAGCTCAAAACTAAACACTCCTGTTTGAAGCTTATTCCAACGTACGTGTGTGTGTGTCTCTCTCGTCAGCCTCACACCAAACGTCTCAACATCTCAGACCAACATCGGAGAAGACGGAGCTATTTATACAAAGGAATATTATTTATACTATTTATACTGAAGAATGACTCCGTATATCTAGTTTTACTACTTTTTGTATCAATTTCGGTACTTTATGTTGCATGTGATCTGTAAATATATTTAGATTTTTAAAAAGATAAAAGTGTTATTTCATTCCTCTGGTACCACCAGGAACACATCGTCCTCTTTTCTTCTGTGAGTCGTTGTTCATGTTTTCATTTGGACGACAAACGCTTATACTTGAATAAATACTGTTTATTGTTGCACAACTACATGTGTCGGCAGTTTTGTTTCTAGGTGTTTGAGAGGTTAGCCTCTGAAAGTTACTGTGAGCAGAGACCGGTCCACCGTGGACAGATTCAGATCCTCCAGTAGAGACCGGTCCACCGTGGACAGACCCAGATCCTCCAGCAGAGACCGGTGGTGGTGGTAATGAAAGCTCCTCGTAATAACTTCAAGTATACACTGTAAGCTGCAATTATTGAGTATTAATTTATTAAAAAAGAATTACAGTATACAGTCGTGTCATTACTATCTAGGAACAGTATTTACACTTTTTATAGATCATTGACTAGAATCCTCACTAAGAAGTCTGAACAGTCATCACATGTTGCTTCATCTCGTCACAACAAAGAACAAACATCACATCCACCGGCCCCGTGCTTTATGACTTCACTTCTTCTTCGTATACTGTAAATAAAAACAATGAATCATTGCAGTGTGTATTTATTCACACGTCAACTTGAAATAATAAAATTCATTCTCACTTTATCAAGAATCCAGAGTGCGTCTGTAACGGCTCTCTGGATGATCGTGTGGATCCTCTCTGGGTCGTCTTCATCAGAGTGACTGGTGTAACCCTGAACATCCAACAGGTTTACTGATGACATCACGACGGCTGTGAGATCCATATTGTTTTATATTTATTTTGTTGTAAACATCCTTCACAGTTTAAAGACGTCCTGAGTTCATCTCAGCAACAACTTTGGAGAGTTTAATCGAGGACGAACAAAACTAAATAAAGGATCTTTTTACTGGATAGAACACTATGAAGAGTCAGACTTTGTGGAGAACAAACAGTTTGGTAGTTTATGCTGATGTCTACCTCAAGTGTCTTAATGAGGAATTTTTCATACTTTTTAAACAATTAATTTAGCACCAAAGTTGTGTGAAAAATATTAACCCACAAATTTCTGCAACAACTTAGGCGAGCATGAGGATGGCCATCATATATTTATTTATATATATATATATATATATATACTTTCATCTTAATGTTTACAACTATTTAAATGAATGAATGATTTATTCGTATTTCAGTCACTTCAGCAGCTCAGTCGCTTGTTTAAAAGCTTCATAAACGAGTTGTTTGTCAGCACAGTTCTACATAATACTAGTAATCCTAAATCATCTGAAGTAGGTTGAGCTCGTCAGTGGCGACCTAACCTGTCTGATGGCGTGTCGGTAATGCTGCTGCATCGCTGCGTTGGGTAACTGTCTGCAGCAGCGGAGGAGATGTCGATAGAGCTGCACTGGGGTCAGCTCAGCGCCGACTAACGGCAGCATCCTCCTCTGGTTCAGCTGCTGTCAACAAACACAATAAACTCTGGTGAGAGGGATTATTAATAAACTGGCGAGAGGGATTATTAATAAACTCTGGTGAGAGGGATTATTAATAAACTCTGGTGAGAGGGATTATTAATAAACTCTGGTGAGGGATTATTAACCAGAATAAATAGTAATACATCATCTCAGATATCATGGGAGGTATATTCTATTCATTGTGGTTTTATTGACATGAAGGTAAAAAAAAAAATACAAAACTACACAATAATATTAACACAACGTTATGATTGTTATATAATAAGAGAAGATAGAACTTTTTTAATACGGAAGGAAATTATTGTGCCAGACTTTTATTAAAGATAACAGAAAAAAACAAAAGAATAAAAATATAAACAAATTTTAACAATAGAATAAAAATGATTAAGTGTAAAAAATTATTCTGACACCTTTGCGAAATAAAATAAAATAAGGTAAGCAAGTAAGATAAATAAATAAAGTATAAAAATTATCGAAAATAAAAAAACTAAAATACAACAACAAAACTAAATGCAAGAGCTAAAACATAAAGTGCATAAGAAATGATACTAACAGCTTATTGGAAGCTAAAATATAAAAGTTATATTAAACATTATATTGAGATACATTTTATAAATGGTATTTAAAAAGTAGTAGAAAGTTATATTGTACATAGATTAATGAAAATAATGCACAATGCTGGAATAAAAGTAATATTACACAAGATGTTGTTATTATTGTTGGTGTCTGTAATAATAATAAAAAAAATATATATACACACAATATCAAAATTACATTTTAACAAACACGTGTGTCCTCCATTCTTAATTCTTAATTCTCACGTGTCTGTCTTGACAAAGTGAAGTAATGTCAGTCACACAGAAACATTAATCTAATTTAAAGACGATGTTTGTTTCATTTTCAAGTGTTTAAATACGTTTTAAATCTCCTTTCTTTATCCTGAGGTGATCTACGCTGCTGCTGCTAGCTAGCTAGCTAGCTAGTTTACCTATTAGCTAGCTAGAGCTGGTTAAAAGGTAAACATTGCGTAACGTTAGATAAAAGTACATGAGCTAGTTCAAACAGAGCATTAGCTTCCATAGCACAGTGGCTAACATGTTAGCTTACTGTAACGTTAGCTGCGAGTCCTAGTGAAAGCTGTCAGCAGGAAACGTATTTTAAAAACCTTCTGGTAGTCATATTATGAAAGTAACAACAACCGCTGTTCTCTTCTTCTTCTTCTTCTTCTTCTTGTTTGGGTTTATTGGCGGTTGGCAAACAATGAATTAGTGCATTACCGCCACCAACTGGTATGGAGTGTGGATCAGGATGTCTAATAGGCTACTTATATACAAATTTAAATTAAAAAGGAAAAGAAAAAAGAAACAAAACAAAACAATGAGCTCATATTTTCTTAATAATATTAATTAATCTAAGATATCTGTTCTCTTCTTCTTCTTCTTCCGGTTGATAAAGGCTTGTCCCGCCCTACGCTGCCTCTGATTGGTTAGATTGGTTAGCTTTAGCCACAACTAGCATGATTGGTCAGAGTTAGTGTAAAGAATGTTGTGAACCAATCAGAGGCAGAGTAGGGCGGGACAAGCCTTTATCAACCGGAAGAAGAAGAAGAAGAGAACAGATATCTTAGATTAATTAATATTATTAAGAAAATATGAGCTCATTGTTTTGTTTTGTTTCTTTTTTCTTTTCCTTTTTAATTTAAATTTGTATATAAGTAGCCTATTAGACATCCTGATCCACACTCCATACCAGTTGGTGGCGGTAATGCACTAATTCATTGTTTGCCAACCGCCAATAAACCCAAACAAGAAGAAGAAGAAGAAGAAGAAGAGAACAGCGGTTGTTGTTACTTTCATAATATGACTACCAGAAGGTTTTTAAAATACGTTTCCTGCTGACAGCTTTCACTAGGACTCGCAGCTAACGTTACAGTAAGCTAACATGTTAGCCACTGTGCTATGGAAGCTAATGCTCTGTTTGAACTAGCTCATGTACTTTTATCTAACGTTACGCAATGTTTACCTTTTAACCAGCTCTAGCTAGCTAATAGGTAAACTAGCTAGCTAGCTAGCTAGCAGCAGCAGCGTAGATCACCTCAGGATAAAGAAAGGAGATTTAAAACGTATTTAAACACTTGAAAATGAAACAAACATCGTCTTTAAATTAGATTAATGTTTCTGTGTGACTGACATTACTTCACTTTGTCAAGACAGACACGTGAGAATTAAGAATTAAGAATGGAGGACACACGTGTTTGTTAAAATGTAATTTTGATATTGTGTGTATATATATTTTTTTTATTATTATTACAGACACCAACAATAATAACAACATCTTGTGTAATATTACTTTTATTCCAGCATTGTGCATTATTTTCATTAATCTATGTACAATATAACTTTCTACTACTTTTTAAATACCATTTATAAAATGTATCTCAATATAATGTTTAATATAACTTTTATATTTTAGCTTCCAATAAGCTGTTAGTATCATTTCTTATGCACTTTATGTTTTAGCTCTTGCATTTAGTTTTGTTGTTGTATTTTAGTTTTTTTATTTTCGATAATTTTTATACTTTATTTATTTATCTTACTTGCTTACCTTATTTTATTTTATTTCGCAAAGGTGTCAGAATAATTTTTTACACTTAATCATTTTTATTCTATTGTTAAAATTTGTTTATATTTTTATTCTTTTGTTTTTTTCTGTTATCTTTAATAAAAGTCTGGCACAATAATTTCCTTCCGTATTAAAGAAGTTCTATCTTCTCTTATTATATAACAATCATAACGTTGTGTTAATATTATTGTGTAGTTTTGTATTTTTTTTTTACCTTCATGTCAATAAAACCACAATGAATAGAATATACCTCCCATGATATCTGAGATGATGTATTACTATTTATTCTGGTTAATAATCCCTCACCAGAGTTTATTAATAATCCCTCTCACCAGAGTTTATTAATAATCCCTCTCACCAGAGTTTATTAATAATCCCTCTCGCCAGTTTATTAATAATCCCTCTCACCAGAGTTTATTGTGTTTGTTGACAGCAGCTGAACCAGAGGAGGATGCTGCCGTTAGTCGGCGCTGAGCTGACCCCAGTGCAGCTCTATCGACATCTCCTCCGCTGCTGCAGACAGTTACCCAACGCAGCGATGCAGCAGCATTACCGACACGCCATCAGACAGGTTAGGTCGCCACTGACGAGCTCAACCTACTTCAGATGATTTAGGATTACTAGTATTATGTAGAACTGTGCTGACAAACAACTCGTTTATGAAGCTTTTAAACAAGCGACTGAGCTGCTGAAGTGACTGAAATACGAATAAATCATTCATTCATTTAAATAGTTGTAAACATTAAGATGAAAGTATATATATATATATATATA